TCTGGAACCACCCAGAGATTGCCTGGCAGTGGCCTTAACTGTTCCTTGGTGGCAGAGGACCACTGATTTCTCAAATAGTCATTAAACCATTATATTGGCAGCTAATTAGCACATTCAGTATTCTACTAATAACAGGACACTTCAAAAAATTCAATATCCCCAATTACCTCCCTGTTAATCTTTTTTTTAAACAAAATAGAAGTGTCTCCAAAAAAAAGGAAATATCTCGGGAACCAGCAGTTAGCGTAATGGCTATGTCGCTGGACTCCCACGTAGTCGACGGCGGTTCGTGTCCCAGACCCGGTGGCTTAAAACTCATGCCGGGCGCGTGTGCGTGCGTGCCCAAGATCCCGAGAGGAGAATGGAGGAGAAGGGATTGCGGCGTGACCATCCCCCCTGGGGGGTGATTTCTCGCTTTCTGTCTCTATGTCTCTCTCTGTCTGTCTGGCGAGCGCACGCGCCCTATAGTGAAAAAAAACCCTCTCAAAAAAAAAAAAAAAAAAAAAAGGAGGTATCTCAATCCCATGACTTGTTTATTTGCTGAATTACTTTCATACCTTCCCTGAAAGTGAATGGAACCCTAAATGAAATGGAATCCGTTCTTCTCAGAGGCAGTATCACAGAAAGTGCATAGGCTTAGGAGGGAAGCAGATCTGGATTGCAACCCTGGTTTGATCCTTTCCTAGTTGTGACCTGGGAAAGGTCCCCAAATTCTCTTGTCCTTGTATTTTCCCATATGAAGTGAGGCTGCTCTACTGTATTAGTTTTCCAGAGTATCCATTTCAAATTACCACAGACTGGGTAGCCTAAAACAACAGAACTTATGCTCTCACAGTTCAGGAGGCCAGAAGTCTAAATCGCAGTGTCAACAGAGCCACTTCCTTCTGGAGGCTCTATGGGAGAATCTTCCCTTGCCCCCTCCAGCTTGTGGTTGCTCTTGTGCCTTGATGATGACAGCATGGCTCCACCTTCTGCTCATACTTCACATGGTCTCTCTGCATCCTCACCTCTTCTTGTGAGGACACCAGTCATTGGATTTAGGGTCCACCCTAAATCAAAGATGAGTTCACCTCAAGATCCTTAACTGTTGGGTCATTGGAAAAGTCATCACACATTTTTGCATAGAAAAACATAAAAAAAGAAAAAGTAATGACTTTTCTGACAACCCAATAATTACACCTGCAAAGACCCTATTTCTAAACAGTAACAACTTTTCTTCCCCATAAGAGTACATGTGCTCACTGGAGAGTGAGAGAGAGGAGAGAAAGAAAGTGAAAAAGCACCCCCTACTACCATGGGGCATGGCTATGCTGTAATTCTTTCCCCACCTTTTCTTCATCCTTTAGGATTTGGGGTACACATGCCTGGTGTGTTTCTTAAGCCGGTGGACATGGGATGAAAATGCAAAGTCAGCCGTGTGAAATCCACTTTAACCATCACACTATAGGCTGGCCCCAAATAAGATCACATTCTGAGGCTCTGAGTGGACCTGAACTTGGGGGAATATATTTTTCCACCTAATCCACCTACCCACAAGAGAGCGTAATTCCATTACACACAGAAAAACTAACGGGTGCACTCAGAATTTGTGTTACAACGGATTTTTAGACTTTTTTAGTATAAATTGTTCAATTGTGCTTTATGTTTATACTGAGAAAAAATGATTGCTTTTAAAGATGAAACAGTGTATGTAACCAGCACTGTATGGAAAATCCACTAATGCTCAATAAATACTGCATTTCCCCTCATTTTCTATACTTAGCCCAACAGTGAATCACTAGCACAATGCAGGTGTAAATCAGGCAATCATAGAGGACCAAGGTTCTCTACAAACTGAAGGTAAGAATTTCTTGCCCCTATACATTTCTTCTGGTGAAGCAGGGTAAGCAGTTATCTTCTCAGAAACGGTATAAATCCTAAGGAATAGAATCCAGGTGGTAGCACAGCAGTAGCGCAACTGGAAGCACATGAAAAAAGCTCTGGGTTCACGTCCCAGGACCTCTCTGTGTGTACATGAGTGTATCTGTGATCCGAGCTGACTTAGAGAGGGGGAGGACTGTGATGTGAAGGCTCTTTTGGGGTGCACTCCCATTTCCCTTTTCCGTTTAATAAATAAATGAATAAACTTTTAAAAATTGAAATGTATATATATATATAAAGGAATGTATCTCTGCAGGTCTATGGAATATAGCTTACAAAGAAGGCTCTGGGTAAAACTTAGAAACTTTATTTTTGTTTTTCTTTGCCTAATTTACTAACTACTGGCCCAATATCAGTTAAATTTCTGGTTCCTACAGCTTATCACATTTTCTTATGTAATTTCCTTCCTCACAAATCTCATCTCTAATGTATTTTATGAAATAAAAATAAAATGAACAATCAAAACCCAAATGTTATTTTGTTCACCAAAATAACAGCTTTGCTGCCATAGGTAAAGAAAGATGAAATGAAAGCTGCAGCCAGCAGCAGGGGGCAGTAGGGAGTCAGCACCCACTATCACTCTCACCTCTTTGCTAGTCTCCCACACCCTTTCTGATACTTGCCTAGGAATGTTCAGTATCCAAACCTATTGGGGCTGAAGCCGTTGTCTGCACTATCTTCCCTGGGACTACTAAAGACACGAAATCCCAACCTGAAACTCCCAAAAAACTATCTTAAGAGTAAAAAGTTTCCCAAGTAATTTATACATCAGATTCACAAACATTCAGCATTGCCTCAAGTTTTTATATCCCGAGGTGAGGAACTGATACAAGAAATGGAAGGAAGAGATCTATGATGTGGGCTGCTACACTTGTTACCTACAGAGATTGCCCTATTTCTACCTGGTTCTCTTCTCAAGGTACAGCTCAGTTATTTCTACTACAATTCCCTGGTCCTAGAGTGTGACAGGTTAGCAGGAACAATGACCAGAAATGACTATATTTATCTTAAAACAATCCTAATTTCCTTTTTCACCATCTTTCGGAAATTGAAAGTGAATAGATGGCAGCTTGTAGCTACTCTAATATTATGTGTCCTCTGAACTATCCATACACACTATTCAATACATCACAAGCAAATAAAACCACAGATCCCTCTTTAGTCACTTCAATGTGAACTTTAGAAAACTCCTCCCAGGACCAGCAGATGGCATAATGTTATGTTGCTGGACTCCACATGGCCGACCGTAGTTCCAGTCCCGGAACCAGTGGCTTCAAACTGATGCCAGTCGTGTGTGTGTGTGTGTGTGTGTGTGTGTACGCGCGCGTGCTCAATATCCCAGCAGGAGAACAAAAGAGAAGGGATTGCAGGGTGGCCATCCCCCCCTTGGGGGGGATGATTTCTCACTTTCTGTCTCTTTGTCTTTCTCTCTGTCTCTCTGGTGAGCACACGCACCCTATAACAGGAAATCTCTCTTTAAAAATAAATAAATAAAAACTACCCTCCCCAGTCAAAGTGATATAGATGAAGTCACTGGATCTCCAGAAAAACAGATTGAGGAAGCAGAAATACAACAAACCTAAAACATATATCAAAGAAAACTAAATTACCTGGAGGGATCCCTTACCTGGATTGGGTTGAAGGTATTCAATTGTTTTAGTCATTATTTCCATCACAGCCCTGCTGGTGACATCCACTTTCTGAAATAAAAACAAATATTGGAAATGATAAAAATTATTAGCCTTAGGATCTCAGTTGCTGCTCGCGTCTATATAGGGTGACCGATGGTGCAATGGAGCAATGACAAGCCCTGCACTATCGGGGACCCTGGGGAGTTGCTGGAAGACAGAATGCCTTTGCAGTCAGCAGTTTGCTACCAAGAAGTGTAAAGCATGTTTATCCAAAGAGGAAGCTGGCAATTTCCTAAAGTGTTTCCAAATACACTTCATACTCTTCTGACAAAAATATGGTGGAGGTAACAAGTCATATTTTGCCCCAGAGGCATTTTCCTAATGCCTACAGTGGGCCAGGCATGGTGGCAGGTTTCACTGCCCTAAAGAAAAAAAGACATCTATTTACATAATAGAGGGAAACTTTCATTTAACTTCTGAAAACATCCTAAGGATATAAAAATCTTGAGCAAATACTTTTAGGCAGTTCTTGAACTCTTGGTTAATTCTAAATGAAATCTTGGTGCTCAAGGCTACCCTTGCAAAATTTTGAATGGTCAGTGTTTGCCCTTAGCATCTTGCTGTGTTCTCTTCACCCCCTACCCCCCCCCATGAAATCCTTTTTCTATCAACATGTACCATCCCTTATTCACTCTACTGGCTAAATGACTAGTGAAAACAAATGAGTCCTATCCAGGATATGAGCCTGTGATGAGATAAAGATATGACTGAAAGAAATAGATTTTTAATGGTAGAAATGCTGATATCAAGGAAGTCCACAGGAAAGATTTGTTTTCTTTCTTACTGGAGTTTAAGGGCTCCTCCCTCAAATCTAAGAAAGTTTTCCATAATCTATTGCACCTACATGTAATGTGCAACTCATGCTGCCCTACATGCAGATTCTAGAATCATTAACAAAATCTCAACCAACACTATGTACTCAAGTCATGGAGTGTTTTGTGCCAGGGAAATGGATTCAAAGTTGCGTGAAGGACAAACACATTGAACGTCCATTGTATGTGTGTGATATGAGATATCACAGGTATCTTGCTAATTATATGACAAGGATTAAGGAATTAGATGGCAAATGTATCCAAACATCCTGTAGCTGTAGCCAACCAAACAGAATCAGGAGAAAAACACCTGCCACACAATTTTGTTTTTTATTTGGAAGTCATCAAATTCTGTGGAAGCTTCACCCATAAGTACTATGGGCAAGGGAACCAGCAGTTAGCGTAATGGCTATGTCACTGGACTCCCACGTAGTTGACCGCGGTTCGCGTCCCGGATCCGGTGGCTTAAAACTCAACGCTGGGCGCGTGTGCATGCGTGCCCAAGATCCCAAGAGGAGAATGGAGGAGAAGGGATTGCGGCATGACCATCCTCCCGGGGGGTGATTTCTCACTTTCTGTCTCTATGTCTCTGTCTGTCTGGCGAGCACACTCCCGATAGCGAAAACCTCTCCAAAAAAAAAAAAAAGAAAGAACTATGGGCAAAAGGGAGGCTGACCTATCAGACCTCATGCCCTCAGTTTCACAGGCTTCCCTACCAAGGCTAATGCCAGTAGTGCACATGGTGCCTGGCTGCCTGGCTACCCAAAGGAAGCTAGGAAGGAAAGTGGTGGAAAGTAACTCTATGTCAGGTGCAGAATCCTTTCTCATTGAGCTATGTAAATAAGGAGCCCAACTGCTCAGCCTCTATAAATGGAAGCCAAGCTTAGCTAAAGCCAGTGGTCTCCAGAAAGTCACAGAGGCCCTAGAGATCAGTATTAGAGAATGAGATTTGGTCCCCAGAGTGGGATTTACTCTTAAGAAGGAAGTATCAGTAGAAAGCCAGCTGTAGGGGTGCACAGGTAGTGTCAATGCGTGACAGGCTAGAATCCACACAGGAGACCTGAGTTCAGTTCTCACACCAATCTGAACACGCCAGGTTTGGATGTGTGTGCCTGTAATTATAGCTAACTGGGAGGCTGGTGCAGAAGAATCACAACATGGAGAGATCCAGCTAAAAATACTCTCTCTGTCTCAACCCTTTCCCCTTTGTCTCCTTCTCTCTCTCCCATAAAGAAAAACAAATAGGGGGTGTAGAAATAAGGCCTAGTCACGGTAATACAAATAGGGGGACGCTGCCACATAAGGGCTGGAGGCCACATGGGTTGAGGGGTTCAGGTAAAATTCCTGTTCCAATCAAGGCAGATTGATACAGTGACCGGGGGTCCTAGCTAACTAGGAAGCTGGAGCAATAGGAATGAGACATGAGACTGTCAGAATTATATCTTCTCCTTCCTCCCTGCTCCTCGTCAATCTCTGTGTTCTCTCTCTTGTTTAAAAGGCAGAAGTGTGGGCCCATGGCTATTGGTTAAGAAAGCTGGATCCCACATGGTCAATAGTGGTTCAAATCTCAACCTCAGTGGCTTGAAAAAAACACACTGGACATGTGAGTATGTGTATCCCAAATCACAATGTCATAGAGAAATGGAGGAAAAGGAATTGTGGCATGACCACACTCCATGGGGGTGGGAGAGGCTTTCTCCTTGCTCTTTCTCATCTCTCTCTCTGATGAGTACATGAACCACTGGCAGGAAAAGAACAAAAAAGTTGGCTGGGAAATAAAAATAATAACTATCCCAGTTTCCCCTATGGCTTGATCAAAGTCTCCCAGGGAAACGCCCATAACATACAGACACTTAGAGACTTTGTGCCACCTGAGGCAACACTTTTGTTTATTTATTCCAGGCATCATTGAAGAAAGACCATTGTAGAAAGTACTCTGTTTAAACCTATTTGGTTAGAGTATAAAATAACCTTCACTTGAAATCTACTTATGAAAATAATTTCATCCAATATACTTGTTTGTGTATTTCTTTATTGGAAGAGGCACCAAAAGGAGAACAGCTATTAAGCAAATTCATTCACTAGGCCCTGGTCTTGGTTGTATTTGGATGGATGATATGATAGAGCTAATGAACCTTAGTAGAAGAAATGAATAGCACCTAATCCGAAGACTTACTTTTTTTAATGTGAATCTGAAACCTAGAGAAAGGAAGGGAGCTCCTCGAGGTCAGACAACTAGTGTTGCTATTATGAAGAAAAGTAGTTCTCAAGATCATGAATCAGGGACCAGCAGTTAGCGTAAAGGCTGTGTCGCTGGACTCCCATGTAGTCGACCGTGGTTCGAGGCTCGAACCTGGTGGCTTAAACTCACCCTGGGCACATATGCGTGCATCCCCAAGATCCCAAGAGGAGAATGGAAGAGATGGGATTGCAGCATGGCCATCCCCCCTGGGGGGTGATTTCTCGCGTTCTGTCTCTCTGTCTCTGTCTGTCTAGCAAGCGCACATGCCCTATAGCAAAAACCTCTCCAAAAAAAAAGACAAAGAATGAGGAAAACTGAATTGTCCAGAAACCTTTAGCTACTCTGAAGTCATCTGCCTGCAGGAAACTGACCGGGAATTAATTAATTAATTAATTAATTAATTAATTTTTTTCTTTCTTTTTGAGAGATTTTTTTCTATAAGGCACGTGCCCTCACTGGAGAGGGAGAGAGAGACAAAAAGCGAGAAAACATCCCCCGGGGAGATGGCCATGCTGCAAGTCCTTCTCCTCCATATACCTCTAGGGATTTGAGGCATGCATGCATGCACTCCCAGTGTGAGTCTTAAGTTACTGGGTCTAGGACTTGAACTGCAGTGACTATGTGACAGTCCAGCAACATAACCATTATGCCGGGCTGGTCCCCGGCCAAGAATTTCTAACTTCTTATCATCTCTGTCTTCAATAACACTGTCCATAATTCTTCCAACTATATATTGTATTGGCCATAGACAAGCTGGGAACCATAAACCTGTGTGAGAAGTCTGGATGTGTCCTGCTATTACTGTGCCCAGATTAACTGTAGACAAAAGCAGACCTTTCAATGGAAATTTTATTTTTAATATTTTTTCTCTTGAGAAATGTTTGCTAAGTGATGTGTGTACTCACCAGAGAGGCAGAGAGACTGAAAGGGAGAAATCACCTTGGGTGGAGGTGGGGGCAGGGGTATGGCCACGCCACAGCCCCTTCTCCTCCATTCTCGGGATTTTTGGGTCCAGTATGAGTTTTAAGTTGCTGGGTCTGGGACTTGAACTGTGGCTGACTACATGGGAGTCCAGTGACGTAACATTATGCTATCTGCTGGTCTCTCAATGGAAATTTTAAACAAGTGGGATTTAAGATCCTGAAGTATTCCTTTGAAGAACTCTTAACAGGAGATGACACGTGGCTTTACCAGTATGATCCTGAAGGCAAAGCACAACCAATGGCCACCAAGAGGTGGAAGTGGTCCAGTCAAAGGAAAAGCAGACCAATCAAGAGCAAAGGTCTTGGCAACATGTTTTCAGGATGCTCCAGGCATTTTGCTTTTGGACTTTTTTTTGGGGGGGGTGGAAGTGGGGGGAAGATGGGATGGACAAAGAATTCTAACACCTGCTAATGACAGAGCATTTTGAGAAAGTTAGCCAAAGTTTTAGCATAACCACGTCCAGAAAAGCTTTGGCAGAGACAATGCTCCTGCTCACTGCTCTCATCAAACAAGGGCACTTTCATGAGTACGTAAATGAGAAATCATTAGGCATCCTCCTTACAGTCCTGATTTGGTTTCTTCTCACTTTATTTTGTGTCCTAATGTTGGAAAAAAATTCTTAAAGGGCACACATTTTTCTTCAGTTAATAATGTAAGAAAGACTACACGAAGGAGTCAAATTCCCAGGAACTTCAATTCTTCAGGGATAAAACAAATAATTGGTATTCTCACTTACAAAAGTTTCTTGAAATTGATAGATCTTATTTTGAGAAATAATTTTTTTTTGATAAATAAAATTTATAGATTTTTGCCATTGGGCACATGTGCTCACCACAGATACAGAGAAAGACAGAGAGATAGAAAGTGAGAAATCACCATCCAAGGGGGTTGGCCACACCACAATCCCTTCTCTTCCATTCTCCTCTTGGGATTTTGGGCATCCAGACATATGTCTCTGGCTTGATCTTCAG